TGTACTGACTTCGAAAGCTACAGACATCGTTTGGTTCAGCTCCATAATTTGTTTCCCTCCTCGTAATATTGTTTGGGGTATCTGCATTTAATAGCTCAGTGAAATATTCTTTCCATATTGCTGCTTTTTCTTTAGTATCCATGATTAGATAATTTTTACAATTTCTGATGATTTTCAGGCTTGGGTTGAAAGACTTGTACTGTTTTATCGTCCTGAAAAACTTATAGTTGTATTATTAATTAGAAATTACCTTTGGCGTGGCTATTTTAATTTATTAACAATCAAAAACCAGGACATCTATATTATTGATAATAAGTTATTTTTTCGAATAAACCGTACACTATTACGAGTACCGTATTACACATCTACAATGTATCATGCCTTTATGAATTATTATTTGTTTACTTTGGAAACATTTTTGAAAATAAAATGTTGAATTTGCAAAGATAAATTATTATACTACCATGTCACGTCTACATACATAAACACTTTTCTTAATGTTCACGATTAAAAGCATTAATAAAATTAATTAATCAATCACCTAAGTCTCCGAAGGGAGATAGAAACGGTTATTGATTTTCGTTCATTTATTTCTCTGAGTGTTAAATTAAAATCGAAAGTCAAAATATGACAAAATGTCTCTTATAGTTAAGTTTATACCAAATTTAATTGTTATTTCATTGAAGATGAATTATACCTTTTCAATATCACAAAAATAATGGTGTTACTTATTCCAATTTTTACACAATTTTAATATGTTCTCGTCAATTTTATTATTTCTAAAATAATTCGTCTACCCTTTTATTAACCAACAACAATGTACCAACTTGATGAATTTATCAACGATTTTTAATTTTTATTTAAAATCGTTTTTTTTTTTTTTTTTTGTTTAGTTTACATTACTTCCGATTTAAATCGTTTAATTTGACGATAAAAAATAACGATAGAAACATATAATTATACTGAATTGTGCTGATTATACGGAACCAAGTGTAGTATACTATTTTATTTTGTTTCAATCATTTGATGTGTTTATTCCCGCATTAAAGATATACAAATAATAAAAAAAAATTTAACCGTTTTATCGATATCGAATATAAACATAAAGTTACTATAAAAAATTTATATTGCTGTATAAATACTTAATTATTTATTGCTGAACTTCATTAGTGCAATCGAATCTTTTTTAATTGAATGAATCATTCACGTTCGTTTTTAATACTCCATCGAATAAAAAAAACATTTCATTTTTTTTTCTAGACGATTAAATATATTATCCCCATATTTTATTACGTTGCAGTAACTCTTGGAAATATAATTTCTTCAACTGAAATCCTCTACAGATTTTTTATTTAGATTGATTAATAATTTTAACATTTATGAAACGTCCTATAACCCTGTGTTTTAAATGCAATTCAACTTTAAAAACAAAATAATTTCATCTATAATATAATCTACATTGTTTATTTTGTCGTTATATGTTGATGATTGTATACGGATGTCATACTCTTCGTTGTCGAGTATCTACGTTGTACACGGGTACATTGGCTTGCACACGACACAAACGAGTTAAGTTCACCGTATCCCGTCGTAGTAAATTCAAAGAAAAATCAAGTCAATCTATTTTGCTTTTATTCGCATATTTACACAAAATGCCCTATAATTTTACTATAAATTTACTAATACAATCATATTTTATTCTTAAGGAAACCATGTATAATATTTAATTCGATCGTATTTTACACTCAACAAATGTAACATCCGGTGTGACGTTTCGAATAGTATTTTAGCACAGTAATGTCCAACCCACGGCCTGTTATAAATATTTAAAATATAACAAAATATAAATAAATAAAAATAAAGTAAAATTATTATGAAAAACAATTTTTTATTAATTTTATTTTTGAACATTTTCAATTAGAAATTGTACGATTTAATGTCTATACGTTTCGTGCACTTAAAAAAGCGTAACGATCAAATGAATGTGTACCTACAGCGTTTAACTCAATCAGTAATCTTTTCAATAGTCGATAACATACATGAAAACAAGTTTTACATCTATATTGTATACCTATACTATGTGTAACAAAATTATATAATTATATTAATATGGAAATTATTTGTCCTTTAATATTTGGTAGCCCGCTCAAAGATAATTGTTTACCAAAGTGGCCCACCGAGGATGAAAGGTTAGGCTGTTTTAGAATGACCCTTGACGATGATATCTATGTCGATGTAATTCTTTTTTCCATCTCTCGTTTAATATTACTATTTTGATTTTATCTCACATGACCTTGTATACATATTTTATATTGCAGATTTGACAAATCCAAAGTTTTTCCAAGAAAAAATAAGTATTTAGATTAGATACTTGGGCATTAGTATATTACATAAATATCTTGTTAACATTCACGTTTGATGAAATGTATTATTTTAATGTTTAGATTACCTTAAAATTTATATTATTCCAAGTGATATTTGGCCTCTATAATATATAATTATAATGACAACAACTTAAAAAAAGATATTATTGTAGTCTAAGAACTTTTCGGACTAACGAACAGTATATGTTTAAAGTTGTATGAATACATTTAAAGAATTAGTATCGTAAGCATATAGTGTAGAAGAACTTTGAACCGTTTGTGCAGCTACGGTTTTTGTGAGACAATTATATAATTTCCCGCGTTTATTACTTTTATTTTGCTCTATAATTTATAGCTTAGCTTTTTTTTAGTTCATTTCTTCAGTTAACTTAATTATAAGCTTAGTTACAAAACGCCGTTTTAATTTTGTAAAGAACAAAAACAATAGAATTAAAAATAATTGGTATTATAGATCCTTAGTTATTTCAACTTGATGCTCTGCTATAGCAACACTATTCATTTTTAACCTCAAATTAGATCTGAATATTCTATTATTGATTCTAATTCACTATTAAAATTATGCTCTCATCTTTTATTTAAACTATCAAATTAAATAAATTGTATACAATAAGCATACACATACAGGGTATCCCTCACGAATATATGAACATTTTTATTATAATGTAATCTAACAATATTCATTGTTGTTGAAACACCCTGTATATATACTTTTGTTATTAACCATCTTCATAGTGTACGGTACTGTACAACTATAATTTACAGCTTTTTATAACAACCGTGTCAATTGACATCGCCGTTATTTCAAATCAAATAATATCTATTATTTACAGATTTTGTTATTACATACAGTTATATTTATATTTGTCTTTCATAAATAAAAGGTTCATCTGATTCGCCCTAAGAATGAGATTTATAATGTATCTATTTGTGTATAAGTAACACATAGATTTATGATTGCATGTACTGTGTGTATTCGTTTACATATTTTTAAGCCGCCCACCTGCTTTGCAAAAAAAAACCCATTAACGTTCACATAATATTATACGCATAATGTCAAACACTCATTCCGTTGTAATATTTTTGGTTTTTTTTTTTTTTTTTTTTTTTTTTTTTT